GCACCTGACTCTGAGGACCTCTGTGTTCTGGATTGTCTTACTTGTTCAGTCTACCGGCTTAAGCAGCATACATAAGCATGGAATGTTGTGGGTCACAAATAACATTGACTGAACATGGACAAGTACGCATCTCACTGAGCTCCTTCCTACAACTGTATGGATAAACACTATTGTCACCTCTAACCCTTATAGAAAAGTAAACAGGCTCAGAAAGGTCAAATGACCTGCCTAAAGTTGGTTTACCACCATCAGTAAGGCCTCCAGAACAGCCACATAAAACCAGCAAGGCAGGATCAGGATCACCATTTTCCAGACAGAGTCATTGAGGCCGAGAGGCAAAAGGGCTTTCCCAAGGTCCCAGAACAGCATCTTTTCCTCTCTGGTCAGGACAGCATTGTTAGGAGGGCAACTAAGCCCAGCCTCTCCCATAGAGGAAAACCTCTCAGGTCATTCCAACCCTTAGGGAGTGGGCACTCCAAGCCAAATTCAGAGAGAAAGTTGCTGCAAAGTACCAGAACCAGAACACTCAGGGACTCAAGACAGGTCTTTTTAAGGACTAGTGGGGAATTTAGACAAAAAGAGCCCTCAGCAGAGTTGCACTCCTGAGGCAGAGTTCTAGCTACTTAAAAGTACCTAACAATTTCAGCATATAATTATATTCTGCAGTACATTGTTTCCTGTCCATGTTGTTAATTTTGTCTCCTCAACTCTACTGGAAGCTGGAGGGCAGGAGAAAGCCTGAGTCTTTGGTGGGCCTCCAGGATTGACTGCCCTCAGCAGACTAGGAAGTCTGCTCAAGACAGGCCCCCTTTTCCTGGAGCAATAGTGGCAACCACCCCTCACCACATACCCACACAAAAGGCAGGTGCTCACAACTTGCCAAGGGAACCCTCATGAATTCTTAGCCAGTAACAAGTCCATGACTGCCAACCCAGAACCTCAGCCCACATGAAAGAGTGCCAGCCATTGGAAAAACATCATACAGGCCCCCTTCCTCACAATAACATTTGAGCAATCACCATGATCTGGGCTAAATCATAATCACCTTCTAAAATCCGTGCTGCAAGAGTCCCTAAATTATCTTACCAGTACATCCCATCTACAACATATAGCAATGGAGCTTCAGGTAAGTTCCTTATTCTTCTCTTTGGTTAAGTGGATTACAGAATGCCACCATATGAGATCTCACACCCAGAACACTTTGTAGACACTAAACAAATTGCTTTTCCTTCCTTGATTCTAGGGTTGCCACAGGTTTAATCCTGGGGTGAGGGAAGTAAAGAAAGGTGCATTCTAACTCAACAGCTAAGAAGAGCCACTAAAAGCCATCATTTGTTAGAAAAGAGAGCTATCTCTGGAACCCAGGCCAAAGTCTGGGGTCAGAGTAAAAATGAAGGTCACATTAGAAAAAACTCATAAGGCAGAAGCAAAGCAGAGCTTCCTCTCAGGAAAAGCTCTGGGGTAGAACCTTTCTGGAAAGGAAGGTCATCATACCCCCTTTTTTAAACTTCACCCTGATACAGTCTCCTGTGGATCCCTGATCAAGCCTGGCTCAGAAGAAAAGGGATGGCAAGAAATGGGTACAAGTCAGGGACCAGACAGGTTAAAATCCTGATTCTGCCACTAGGTGACCTTGAACAACCTCTCTGGGCATCAATGTTCTCAACTGTAAAATGGGAAGACACTAAAAGAGTTCCCATGGGTTGAGCGGGTCTCAGTGTGGCATGAGAAAAATGTATGCTAAAGTACTTTGTAAAGGGTTAGGTCACTTGGCAAATGTATGAGATTATTTACACTGCCACAGCAAGAGACAGGTGGGTAAATGCAGCTGGAGGAAAATATTACCAAGTGTACACACACACACACACACACACACACACACACACACAGACAGAGAGAGAGAGAGAGAGAGAGAGAGAGAGAGAGAGAGAGAGAGATTTGCAAGGACAAAAACTCCAACTAGACCAAGCCAGAAAAGAATATAAAGCAGCCAGTGTGGTGGCTTGCACCTGTAATCAAAGCAATAGAGAGGTTAAGGCAGGACTGCCTTCAATTTAAGGCCAGGGCTACTGAAAGGTTGTCTCAACCAATAAATAAAGATAAGCCCACCTACATGGGAATCAACACCCTAGGGCAGTCTGGGAAGAATATAATAAAATCAGAGAAGAGGTGGTTATGGGGGCAAAATTAATAAGGGAGGAGACTAGAAAGGTGGAAACCCCTTTGATTAGCTAAGCATCCTAGGGCGTGACCCTTAGTGTCATGACAGGCCCTGTCACCCGAGGTCCCCCTTCAACCAGACACAATGAAGAGAAGAGGAAGAGAGAAAGAGGTGGCAGCAGAAGGCAAGGCTGGCCACAAACTGACCATGGGCCCAGCAGGGCTTCCCCATACTGAGGAGAGGGCCTATCCAGCCCTAGCTTCTCAGAAAGGAGCTGACCACAGGGACTCATGCCCATGCACCCGTGTCTCACCTGGTCGGGGTCACTATGGTGCCCCAGCGCCTCCGCTTCCGCCTGGGGTCCTCCAGTTGCTCTGACAAGCAGGGAGAGGGGCAAGGAGATCTTCCCCCTTGCCACCTCTTCCTCAGCTTTCGCCCTTTCTGAGGGGCGGGCCCGGGAAGCCTCCCCTGGAGGGGAGGGGGTGACAACCTGATCTGACCTCGCGGTCCAGTCCTCCCCCAACTCGAGGGCAACAGTTGCTGAATCCCGGATTTCCGATTGTGGGGTCTAAGCCCCGTATATTTGCAAGGACCAAAAATGAATCCGATATTTGGACGCCTGGAAAATGAACCCTGGATACTGGTGCACGCAAGGTCCTGAATTCCAGGTATTTTAAATTGTATAAAACAGAGACCCAGGTCTGTAAAGGTTGGGACTCGAGTCCCAGATATCTGATATATGAAGGCTTGATAACTAGGTATTTAAGAAACGAGGGATCAAACCCCAAAAATCTGGGACCCAGGGGCCTGAGCCCCAGGTCGTCGGCCACCGACACGGGGCCCACCCCGAGGATGCCCGGCTGCACAGCCCCTCTCAGGCTGGGGTCCGAGAGTGACAGCCCCTACTCCAGCCCTGGCTTCCTCCCTTTCCCGTCCTTTCTCTCCGGAACAGCTGAAAGAATATAGCTGAGGTGCTGCTGATCGTCCCTGCGCCCTCACTCCCTTCCTCTTCGTCTCAGCTTCTCACCGCACCACAGCCCTGCTCTCGCCCCGGCCTCCCTCTCCCTCTTCCTCCCAATTCCAAGATGGAGACCGGGCGGGAGCGCGCAGGCGCGGTAGGGACTCCAGGCCAAAGGGGGTGGGGCCCCAAAGGAAATAGCCCCGCCCCTCGCCCCTAGCAGCTGCGGCCAAGACCAGAAGCTGCCCTGGATCCCAAGTGCGCGCGCGCCCCGCCACGCGGATCCTGGGTGGGAAGAGGAGAGGAGAAAGGCTGGGCCTGCTTGGGGAGGAGCCCAAGCGCGCGGTCCGAAGACTGCCGGTGGAAAGAGCTGTGGCGCATGCGCCCGCCCAGCTTTCGCGCTGCGACTGAGCTTGTTGCTAGGGGAAGCTCCGGAGGGGCGCGCGAGGAAGGGAGCCTGTGGTCTGCGCCTGCGTGCAGGATAAAGGCTGAGAGGAGTAAAGCAAGGGTGCTAGCAACTGCGCGGAAAAGGCGGGAAAACGGGCCATTATGATGTTCCTAAGTATCTAAACTAGACCTGAGCTCCCCAAGTTCGAGGATAACGTGCCAAAGTTGGGGAAACCCAATAGATCAAATCCCTACAAGAAAACTGAGGTCCAGTAGGGTTGTATAACTTGTCAAAAGTCATGATGCATTTATATCAAGCATTTCCACTGTCTAAAAGCTCCTACCTAAACAGAATCAACAATTTAAGTTCTTGAAAGAAAACAAGTGATCAAATAGTACAGTTAGGGGTCCCAGTACATCTGTAAGGTATGATGGCAGATTATGCTTACAATTCCAACACTCAGGAGGCTGAGTCTGAAGCTAGAGAATACAAGTTCCACAGCAGTGTATAACCTAAAGGGGTCCCGGTATAAAAAACAAAACAAAAAAAAAACAAAACAAAACAAAACAAAAAAAAAAAAACTAACAACAACATGAAACAAACCAAACAACCAAAAAAACCCACATGCCTTTGACCCCAGCATTTAGGAGGTAGAGGCAGGCAGATCTTTAGTTTGAGGCCAGCTTGGTCTACAAAGAAAGTTCCACGGCAGCCAGGACTGTTAACACAGAAAAACACTCTCGGAAAAAAATAAACACACACACACACACACACACACACACCAAAACAAACAAACAAACAAACAAACAAAACCTGTAAATGTTTTCCAAAGCAAATCCACAAAAATGGGCAAAGTTTTAAGAGAACTATTCCCTATGCCAGCCAACCTGTATTCTAAACAGGCTAACAAGGATGCTAGCCATCTGTACACTGAAGAGGTTGACATCTGAAGATTTTGAGTTTCAGATCAGTAAGGATTACATAGTATGAGCTCATCTAAAAAAAAAAAAAAAAAAAAAAAAAAAAAAAGGGAAAATAAAGCAGAGGGCAGAATGGCTCAGGCTTTTCAACCCAGCACTGAGGAAACAGAGGCAGGCAGATCTATGAGTTTGAGGCCAGCCTAGTCTACAGAGTGAGTTCCAGGACAGCCAGGGCTGAATAGTGAAACCCTGTCTCAAAAAACCAGCAAACAAAACAGGGCTGGAGATATCATTCAGTGACAGAGTGCTTGTCTGGCATATATGAGGCCCTGTGTTCAATCATAGCACCATAAAAGAGACAGGATCAAAACAGCTAAGCAGGTGCTTGCCATGAAAGTCTGGTAACCTGAGTTCAATGCCCTGAACCCATGGAAAAGCTGAAGAAGACACAGAATCATCATTCTGTGATTTCCATATACCATCATGCACCTACATCATGAATGTGTGCAGCAAGGAAAAGCACCCTAAAATGCTGGCTTTAATCCAATCCCCAATAAGTACCTTACACGATAGTGATCAAAAAGCCATTTATTTTTCCACATTCCAGATCTTCTTTTTTTGTAATATGTCTTCTAAACTCAGAAGTAGGCCCAAGAATTTGATCTTCACCTGGAGAATAAGAAAGAAAACAAAACAGATAAGAAAGCCCCTGGACGCTCTGCATGGATGCAGAAATTGAGGAAGGGACAGCAGAAGGAATACCTTGAGACAGTTCTGGCACTTACCCCCACAGGGGTAGCTTCAAAACCCCAGGATGAACCAGGGGCCAAAAACCTGAAAGCCTTTTCCACTCTTGGACTGAATGGGCTCCACTGTTTCCTACTCTAAGTCTAGCAGATGAAACAGTGAGACCTATTTTTAAGGAAATTTAACAAAGTTATCTAGAGCTTCCAGTTCCTCTGGGTTGGAGCAGTTTCACAGTCTAGGCTATTTCCACTCTCCTGTAGTCATTTCCTAGCACACAAAGGCCAGCAAAACCTGGGAAAGGCATAAGAGCTGGCTGCATAACACTTTCAAATGGGATTGTACCCTCCCAACAAGTTGAAGATGTTTTTTGGATTGATTTTTTTCACTCAATGAGAGGATATGATCGAATTAGTAGTATTAATAGTAGAAGGCCATCCTTTGTTACATTTGCCAAGCTCATTACCTCCAAAAACCTAGTTAGCAGAGAAAACTATCTTCTAAATACAATGATGACTACATGAAGAAAACACATATAAAATACTTGGGCAGGGTATATGTCCAGTTGATAGGCATCACCATTAATTATATTCTTTTGAGCTATTTGAGTAGAATTCCAGGAAGGCCAGCAAGATGGCTCTGTCACCAAGCTAACAACCTGAGTTTGATTACCAGGACCCACATGATGAAGACAGAACAGACTGCTGAACACTGTCCCTTGACCTTCATATGCCCATTGTCGCATGCAGACATACACATGGCTCAAAACAAAACAACAAAGAACAGCTTGGCAGCGGTGGCACACGCCTTTAATCCCAGCACTCTCAAGGCCGAGGCAGAGGCAGAGGCAGAGGCAGGTAAATCTGTGTGAGTTGGAGCCAGCCAGCCTGGTCTACAGAGTGAGTTCCAGGATAGCCATGGCTACACAGAGAAACCCTGTCTCAAAAAAAAAAAAAAAAAAAAAAATTTCCTCCTCCCTTCCTTCCTGATAATGCTCTTGATCTCCCTGTAAGTCCTTGCTATTTATGCTTTCCAAGTATATGATTAGTGAATGAAAGATCACAGCCAATGAAGATTATTGGAGGTGTGGTTATTTAAATGAAAACATTCACCACGTATGGATGTGGTTTGATTTTATTTTTATTTTTTTTTTAACCACCTAAGGTTTTTGGGTTTTTTATTTTTAATCCCCCAAGGTCCTGCTCTTACTTTAAAAAAAAAAAAAGAGATTTATTTTTTATGTGTACATCTAAGTGAGTTTATGTACACAATTGCTCAAGGAGGCCAGGAAGGATGGTGGGGTCCCTGCAGCCAGAGTTACAGGTGGTTTTGAGATACTAGATGTGAGTGCTGGGAACAAATCCTATTTCTCTTAAAGAGCAGTAAGTGCTCTTAACCACTGAACCACCAGCACCCGCCCCTTATTATTTTTTGTTTGCTTGTTTTGAGACAGGGTCTCATTTGTAACCCCAGCCACCTGACACATACTATGTAGATCAGGCTGGCCTCAAACTAATAGAGATCTGCCTGCCTTTGTCTCCTGAGTGCTGAGATTAATGGTGTTTTCTTTCTTTCTTTCTTTCTTTCTTTCTTTTTTTTCTTCTTCTTCTTTCTTTCTTTCTTTCTTTCTTTTTTTTTTTTTTTTTTTTTTTTTTTTAGCTAAAACCTCAATATATAGCCCTGGCTGGTAGGTACTCACTACATAGACCAGGCTGGCCTCAAATCCTGCCTCTGCTTTCCCAGTGCTGGTATTAAAAGCATTTACCAATACATTGGGACCTTAGTTTTTAACTTGATATGCTCCCATACATATCCTCTGTGGATGTTGTCCTGCAAGTAATGTTCTTACTGTAAGACTCGCCAGAGCTCCACTTCATACCTACCCTTATGGCAGCAATGGTGAATTAAGAGGGTTCAAGTTTGATGATCTGTCCTAAACATGGAGTCTTGCTTTTCTCTTGAAATGTATTTAATATTTATTTATTCATTTTGAGACAGGGTCTCACTATGTAGCCCTGGATGGCTCAAAGTTTGCTATGTAAGGCAGAGTGGCCCCAAAGTCACAGAGATCCACCTGCCTCTGCCTCCTGAGTGCTGGGGTTAAAGGCATAGACCATTACCCCTGGCAAAATTATCATATTTATTTACTTTAGGGGAGCCATGTACATGGTTTGTTCTTTGGTTTTTGTTTTGTTTTGAGACAGGGTTTCTCTGTGTAGCCCTGGCTGTTTTGGAACTCGCTCTGTAGACCAGACCGGGCTCTAACTCACACAGATTTGCCTGCCTCTGTCTCCCGAGTGTTGGGATTGAAAGCATGTGCTGCACCACTGCCATGCTTAGGGGAGGAATCTGAATTACTTAAAGTCTTCTTTTTTTCCTGGGTGGTATTTACAAGTGTCCACTTTATAGTAAGCTGTCAAAATGCATTTTTATGGTTTTTCTTTTTACATGAAAGTTACTTATTTCGTAGTAAAGACAGGGCTATCAAGATGTCTCAGCAGGTAAAAGTTTTATCGCCATGAAAGCAAGCCTGATGACCTGAGATTAATTCTCCTGACTCTACATAAATGTGGAAAGAGAGAATCAACTCCACAAGGTAGTTCTCTGGCCTCCACATGCACACCAGGGCACACACAGGGCCACCCACACACAAAGAAAAAGGGAGAAGTAATAAAAGCATTGTATGTTTAGAGAGAACACTGTTCTCAGTCCCCATAAGGAGACAGCTGAATAGGGCTCTCAGGGACTCACAGTATTTGACTCTAAGGGTCTGCCTTACCAAGTTTAACTGCCATCCCTTCCCCCCACCAACTCCCACAGAACCTCACCTGAGACCAGAGTAAGGAGCAGGCTGGTGCCCTCAAAGCCGTGTTCGGGACCAGTGGGACTCTAGGCGTGGATGGAAGCACATAGCAGTGACACAGCAGAGAAAACCACAGGAGAGAAGCAGGAACGAGCCCAGGACCAGCAGTCTGGTGCCACACAGAGCTAGCTCTTCCTAGTGGTGGGACAGGGAGGGAGGGAGGGAGGGGAATGACAACAGAGAGGGTTAGGAATCTTCCAGTGGGAAGATATCTTGTCCCACACCCTGAAAAACAGAGACAACCCTCCATGAGGCACAGCCCTCCTGGCATCTAGAGAGCAGCTCTGGGGCAGGTGGAAGGCAGCATTTGCCCTGATGGGGTCCAACTCTCTCTGGCCCAATCATCAACTGAACTACCAGAATGACTCCCCAGGAGTCACTATTCTCCACATTCTGCTAACCTTTCTTTTCCTTCCTTCCTTCCTTCCCTCCCTCCCTCTTCTCGTTAATGAAGCAAAGTCTTGTTATGTAGCTCAGGCTGGCCTCAACTCTCTTGTGCTTCCTGCCTTGAGCCTTCTGACTGCCGGGGTGATGGGTGTTTACCATCATATCCAGGCATGGTCCTTTTAAAATATTTTATACGTGTATTTGTATTATGGCTGTTTTGTCTGTACCACCTGCATGCAGTTCCTGTAGAGTCCAGAAGAGAGCATCAGATCTTCTAGAACTTAGGTCATAAACAGTTGTAAGCTGCTATGTGGGCATTGGGAATTGAATCCATGTACTCTGGAATGGCAGCTTGTGCTCTTAACCACTAAGCCAATCTCTACAGCCATAAAACTTGCCACCAAATGGCTCCACCCGTTCAAGGACTTGTGCAAGTAGAGATAGATTTGCTTTCCCTAATGGCTTTTTTTTTTTTTTTTTTTTTTTTTTTTTTGAGACAAGGTTTCTCTGTGTAGCCCTGGCTGTCCTGGAACTTGCTCAGTACACCAGGCTGGCCTTGAACTCACAGAGTTCCACCTCTCTCTGCTTCCCAAATGCTGGAATCAAAGGTGTGTGCCACCATTGCCTGCCACAAGTAGCCTTTTAAAATATGGGGCATGAGAGTATAGCAGCCCTTTATCCACTCTCTTCCTCCATGCAGTCCAGCTCCTCTGCCCTGCAGAGTGAGAGCTTCCTTCTCTTGCCTAAGCTCTACATGGCTCCAACTTCAGTGTCAAACTGTAACATTTAGCCTAACATTCATAGCAGCTCAGCAACTGGCTGAGATTTCTCCTGCCTCCTTCTAGGTCATTCCTAAGCCCCTCATATGAATCCCAAGAGGCTGAGCTGCACTCATTTCCCCCTTGAAGGATCATCTTACCAAGGAAAAGGGAATAGACTCCTCCCAGGCCTCACCATGTAGTCCTGACTATCCTGTAACTCCTACAGAGACCAGGCTGGTCTCCAAGTCAGCAAACAGCAAATGACTATCTCTGATCAACTCTGTTTTGCATCAGGTACTGTGCTGAGTACTTTAGGTCATTCTTATTCAGTCCTTAGTTACTGTAATCCGTAAATTACATCACGTTTGTCTTTTGCAGATGAGGAAGCTGAGTCTGAAAGAGGTTCAGAGCTTGCTCTAGACCACTTGCCTCTAACCTAAGGCAGGGCTATAAGAACCTATGCTTACTCACTCTTGTTCTTCTTTTTAAATAAACTGCCATTATAAAGTCCAGGCTGGCCTTGAGTCCTCCAGTCTCAGACTCTGGAGTACCAGGGTTGGAAAAGAGCACAACACTACACCAGACCAAGCCCATTCTTTCTCTGCTATGTGAAGTTGCCTCCTCAACCCTTTCGGGCAGCACTCCACATGACAATGTATAAAGCCTTGAAGATCAACCTGAGGCATTTACCGAAGTAAGGAGCTTGGTGAGCACAAAGCGTTCATGGCTCCAGACCCTGACACACTCTTCACCCATCACTGGGCTCAAGGTAGCATTTCCAGCTCCCTCCTCTGAGCAGGATATTGGTGGCTGGCTAGAAGGCAAGATTTCTGGAACAGCACTGAAATAGAGGCAGGTCTCTGGAGTCCTTCCTGAGGCCACTCTGGCTGTGATGAGGATAGACTCTCCTGCAGAGGACCCTATAAGAGGCACAGGAAGAGATGGAAAACTGAGTGGGCAGCCAGAGAGAGATGGCCAGCAGCAAAGAGCACTGGCTGTTCTTCCAGAGGACCTGGATTCAGTTCTCAACACCCACATCTAGAGGTTTCTAATGGCCTGCAACTCCAGCTCCAAGAGATCAGATCCCTCTTCAGGTCTCCTCCAGCAAACACACACACACACACACACACACACACACACACACACACACAGAAAAACAACATTTTTTTGTTTGTGTTTTGAAACAGGGTTTCTCTGTGTAGCTTTGGAGCATGTCCTGGAACTTGCTCTGTAGACCAGGCTGGCCTCTAACTCATAGAGATCCACCTGCCTCTGTCTTGTGAGTGCTGGGATTAAATGCATGCCCTACCATGGCCTGACTCAAAAAATAAATCTTTCCAATAAATAAATATTAAAAAATATACTTATCCTCTTAAAGAAAGCAGTTATCCACTGAACACCAAAATCCAGTCAAATTAATGGACAAAGGATGGCTTGTTTTGGGACAATTTTCAGTAGAAAAAATACAAAGTTAGACTGTCATCTCACGGTATAAGTAGTCCAGATGTATTAAATAACACACCAATCAAGGAAAACTTTCAGAAAGGATGAAAGAAAATACAGGTTATATTCCAATTTTAAAGTGTCAAAGGCATTTCTATGAAAAACACAAAACCAAAAGTTTTTGTTTGTTTGTTTGTAGCCCAGAATTGCCTAGAAACCATTATCTAACCAACGTTGGCCTAGGACTCATGGCAATCTTCCTACTGAACCTCCCAACTGATGGGATTATAGACATGGCTATCATATCTGACTTCTATCATCATTTTAAATGAGCAACGAGGATGCTCACCAAACTGTTGTTGAACGAACATTCGATTGTACACTGCTGTGTGGTCTGAATTTCTACAAAGCGGTGGATACAGATAGAATGCCTGTGGACCATGAAGCAGCATAAATTAAGAGTTGTAATACACACCTGAAATCCCAACATAGAGAAGATGGAGGCAGACAAGCAGGCAGGTCATGAGTTCAACATCATTTTTGGCAACATAGTAAGTTTGAGGCCAACCTTGGCTAAATGAGACCCTGTCACAAACTAACAAACACCCAAAAATCAAATGTACAGTATTTAAAAAAAAAAAAGGGGGCAGGTAAGTTGGTTCATCTAGGAAAAGTTGTTGCCATGCAAGTCTGAGGATTGACATTTAGTACCCAGAAGCCAGGTAAAGGGGGAAGTAGAGACCTAACTACACTGAGTTGTCCTCTGACTGCCCCTACACCAATAACAAACTAAAATGAACTTAAAAAAAGAAAGGAAGAAAGCCTACATCTTTTATTCATTTATATTACTTATAGAAACTAATCCTAAGGAAGGAACTAAAAAAATGCAAGTATGTTAAGAGCTAGGGGTGTAGCTCAGTGGCAAAGCACTTAGATAGCATATATGAAACCCTTGGGCTCATTCTTAAGTACCAGCAAAAGAAAAATAAAAAACAACATACATTAAGATGTTTTTGCTCAAGGCCAGCCTAAGCTACAGAGTGAGTGCCAGGATAGACCACAAAGCTACACAGAGAGAGAACCCTGTCCTGAAAAACAACAACAACAAAAAATTAGGAACAATAGTGTTATTTACTGGGGAAAATGTTACAGATGATGACCTAACCACTTAATGGATCAATTTACAGCTATTAATATAATAGACGAGGTAGTAATACAGAAAGAAAGCCATATATGTCTAAGTGAAAAAGAAATACTCAGCATATCCAAGCTGAAGATGCACATGTACAATTCTAGAGATAACCTCTGCCCTCCCTCCTATCCACTGCCCAATGAACTCATTGGCCAGGGTTTGTGTTGTTAGTCCCAGATATCAAATGCCCCTCTTAGTTCACAAAGGCTTTACCTTAAATTTTCATCATATCTTTTGTCCTTTCATCTGTCCGTCCTTCCTTTCTGTTTTGTGGCAGGGTCTCACTATATAGCTCTGGCTATCCAGGAACCCACTATGTAGCCCAGGCTGGCCCCAAACTTACAGAGGTCCACCTGCCTCTGTCTCCTAAGTGCTGGGATCGAAGGTGTGCTTCACTACACCCAGTTTCATACCTTTTCTTTAAAAACAGGGTATTACAGCTGGGGGTGGAGATGGGGCATTCCTATAATCCTAGAACTCAGGAGGTAGGGGCACATGGATCTGTGAGTTTGAGACCAGCCTGGCCTACAGAGTGAGTTCCAGGACAACCAGGGCAATGCAGAGAAATCCTGTCTCAAAAAAACCAACAAACAAGCTGGGTGTTTGTGGTGCCCTTTAGTCCCAGCAAGAGGGAGGCAGATGCAATCGGATCTCTGTGGGTTTGAAGCCAGCCTGGTCTGCAGAGTGAGTTCCAGGACAGCTTCCAAAGCAATACAGAGAAACCCTGTCTTGAAAAACCAACATCAACAAAACAAAAAACCAACCAACCAACCAACAAACAAAAAAAAAAACCCCAAAATCCAGGGTCTTGCCATATAGTCCAGACTGTCCTCAAACCTGTGCTTCTGCCTCAATTTCTCCAGTGATGAGGTTACAGACAGACAACATGATGCCTAACTCTCATCACTCCTTATAAATCCCTTCCTAGTTTTCTTGTTAATAGACCCAATCCTATTACTTTTTTGATTAGACTGAGTTTGCCCAATGTACTAGCACACAAAATCTTTTGTTTGTTTGTTTTTGTTTCTTTGTTTTTCAAGACAGGGTTTCTCTGTATAACAGCCCTGGCTGTCCTGGGACTCACTCTGTAGACCAGGCTGACCTCAAACTTAGAGATCCACCTGTCCCTGCCCCCAAGTGCTGGGATTAAAGGTATGTACTACCAGCAGCAACATCTCATACCTAGAAGGAGTAAACCAATGCCTGCAAGTTGTCCTCTAATCTACATAAGTATACTGAGGCACCTATTTCCCAACTCAGCATTCCTTTCCTTGTATGCACCATCCAAACTGACCCTGGGAAGTTCCTAAACATGCCATCATGGTTCCTTCCCATCTATATGCCTTCGTGTCTGCCACTCCCTTTGCCTGGAATTATACACAGCTAAGCATTCTAAAAGCCTACCTAACCTTAGATGCTGTATCCTTTCTCACCAACCTACTTCACACACTGACAGATGTGTGCTTCTTTTATGTCTGTATTTTTGTTAGACAGTAAACGACTTAAAGGAAAGACCAAGAAACCTGAAAAATCACTACTACGGTGAAATAGGACTTCTCAGTGATCAGGGTGGGTATACTGAAAATGAGAGCATAGTGCACGCCTTTGATCTTAGTGCTTGGGAGGTGGAGGCTAGCCTGGTCTATACAGTGAGTTCCAGGATAATCAGAATTTCATGGACAGACCCTGCCTCAAAAACAAAGTGTGAGTAAGTATGGAAGAAAATGCAATGCTCCAGTTGTAAGACTATAAAATGGTACAACAGTTTGGCAGTTCCTCAGAAGATTAATCATAGAGCTATCCTATATTCCACTCATGCCTCTATTCTCAATAATAACAGTACCAACGTGCATGCCCACACAAAAATTATTGTTAAGAATAGCATAATTTCTTTCTTCCTTTTTTTTTTTTTTTTTTTTTTTTTTTTTGAGACAAGTTCTCTTCATATATGTAGCCTTGGCTGCCCTAGAGCTTGCTATGTAGATTAGGCTGGCCTGAAATTTGTAGAGATCTGCCTGCCAATCTTGTGTTTCCCAGTGCTGGGATGAAAAGTATTCAGTACCATGATGAACCTTAAACATCTCAAGTCACAAAGGGCTGCATATTGTAGCAATGTCCAGACAAGCAGGCCACTAGAGACAGAAAGTAGACTCCCAGAAGCCTGGGGACCTAGGGAAAATAGGCAAGGACAGCTAAAGTGGAGATCTACTTAGATGATTAAAATAAAGTTCTAAATGGATTTCAGGGTGGTTCCACAGTTGTGTAAACAGACTAAAAGTTTAAATGGGTGAAATTTATATTGGTGTGTGACTCGTACTTCATGCTGTCATATATGTAATGTGTTTCATGTATGTATGCTTCAGAACTTACTGTGTAGTCCTCAAAGCCCTGGAACTCACTATATAACCCAGGCAGTGTTGGCAAGCTTGAGTTCTCTATCTCTCTCTATACAGACATAGTGGGGAGGGGCATTTGGTTTTAAACCTAAGGCCTCCTGGTGAATTCTAGGACAGAATTGAGGAAACTTGGAACTGGAACAACAGAGCCAAAACACAGAACCTATACAGTGGACAACATCCCCTGAAAGCATCTTATCCTTTCTAATCCGTACTGCAGCAGTCTGGTGAAGTCTGAGTGTTCTGATGCTGGACCCCCCACATTTCCCAGAGCTCACCTTTCAATCCTATCTGACTACCATGGACCTTGGCTTGGAATGTTTGGGTTTTGTTCCTATCTGGAACATCTCCGAAGTTCAAAGTAGTCAGTAAGCCAACGACATGAGGCCCTGGCCACTTCCCTGTGACTGTCCCATTCACGGGGCACAGGCTCAGCTGGCCAAAAGACCTCAAGAAGGAAACCCAATCCTGTGTGCAAGAGAAGAGCGAGAGAGAAGTGAGATTAGCAACAGGGGCAGGCATGCAACAAAAGGGTGAACCTCGGGGGTACTTACCTGGGGAATGTCAGGGCTACGTAGGCCAGATGTATGGGTGAGGAGGAAGCCACCAAGGCCCAGGCCAGAGAGACCAAGGAGCAGCAGGATCAAAGTGGCACAGACCAAAGGTGGGTGATGAGCCAGACAAAGATGCAGGTTGTGCCCTGCCTGGCAGCTGCCCATGGGGAGCAGAGGGGTCTGGGCCTCCGTGGAGTACCTGCTGGAGGACAGTGAGGGAGAACTGGACAAGAGCCTGCAGGTCAGAAGGCCCTCACCCATGTTATGCAAAAGCAAGCTAAAGATAGAAGACAATGGATTTGCTCAAGGCCACACAGTAGGTGGCAGAGACAGGACCAAAACCCAAGATTCTGTGCTCAAAAAGTTCACCTCTTTAGGGCAGGGGCACTTAAGGCTTGCTCTATTTCGTTTCTGAAATAACCAAGGAAGAAGCAGGGAACAGCAACATTCTGTACTAGTAAAGGGGATGTGAAAAGAATTCTTAGCTAGAAAAGAGGAAGTACTTGATCTGGGGCTCTGGGGTTGGAAGCCAGAATTCTGACCGGAAGTATCTGGGTTCAAGTTCCTACTTTGGAGCTAAGCTAGAAAGGAATGAATCCCTTTTGCTGCTCCCTAAGTGCGACCAAGCCAGTTAATGTCTGTGAGTTTAAGATGGGAAATGGGAGTTCTAAGAACACCAAGTAATAAGGATTCATAAGGATTCGATGGGACAGCAGTTTGCTTGGTACTTGGCCATGCAGGAATTCAACAGACGTCTATCTCCTTTCTTTTTATTTATGCCATACTGATCATTAAGACCAGAAGAAGCCAGTAGGAGAAACACTGTGACTCAGGGACTTTTAACACAGAAGTGGTAGGGTTCTCCAACTTCCGAGTACACCATCGCAGGCAAGGAGCGATAGACTGATGAAAGTAAACATCTGGAAGGCAGGAGATTAGCATAAGGAGTTGGGAGAGAGAGTGGTAGAGTACATGGAAGCCACCGGAAAACGCCAGGTGTCACATATGCTCGGCCCCTGCGCGGCCCCATGTCCCGGCATTTCTGCAAGGGGGAGGGTAGGAGGAGGGAGGACAGAGTCTGAGGGGCAGTAGCGTCAGATGCATCTTGGCCTCCCGTCCTCCCCAAATCCCTCTCCAGAAGGATCTCGACAACCGCATCCCTTCCCAATCCAGCGGCTTCAGGTCCGACGCCGCTAGCTCTCACCGCTTGCAGCCGGGCGGAGGCCGGCGACCCGTGACGTCACGGGCGGCGCGGCGGCGGGGCGGGGCCCATGCTCGCGAGCGCCCGCCGGCCCCGCCCCAACTCCGTCGGGACGCGCTTGCGCGGTAGCCACGCGGACTGCTGAGTTAGGCTAAACCAAAAGGAAATTCACTCTAGGGGCCAAGTGGAGGAAATAACTTACAGGGAGGTGAGGAAATCAGAAACTGGAGAGGGAGCCCCTGCTAGCCGTCGTGGACACCTCTGTTTCCCTCCCGGAAGAGCGCAGGAGGGTGTCGACGGAACCTCACTAAAGTCACTTTTCTGTTGCTTGCCCGCGACCTGTGCCCGTCGCACAGCCCGGCCGCGCCCAGGTTTCCGGGAAGGACTCGGGGTCCTCTCAGTAGGATTGGGGGGGCTCCACTCTTCCTCTTTGCTAGTGATATGTAGGTTCTGCTCTTTGCCCTCTCAGATACTTAAGGTCTACACCATGGCAAGCCCCGTTGACTCTGGTTCCTAAATGCACAGGATCCTAGCATTGCAAGTCTGCTCAACAGGGAGCATCTCATCTCAGTCTTTATGCTTTTTAGAGGGGGAGATCGTCTTACCTGAAATAACATAAGAGGGAGCTAAGATCAGGTTCAAATCCTCAGCCTGGCCTGGTGTGGCAGTGCAGTCCTGCTACCCCAGCACTCAGGTGGAGGCTGGAGGATAAGGAGTTAAAGGTCAGAGTTCAGCCTAGGTTTCCCATAAAACCAAATTCAAACAACAAAATTAATAACTCTGCCTAAGCCACAATAACCATATTGTCCTGGGGATAAGATTGTTCCTTTTAAAACAGAACTTTTTTTTTTTTTTTTTTGAGACAGGGTCGCACTGTGTAGCTGACTTGGAAATCACTTATGTTGACTAAAGAGGCCTTGAACTCAGAGATCCACCTGCCTCAGTTCTCAAAAGATGTAGTACAGATGGGTATTAGACATACAAGAAAATGTTCAAGCTCACTACACATCAGAGAAAAGTGAATTAAAACCACATTGAGATTTCATCTTACCTCAATCAGAATTAAAGAAAAAGAAAAATGCAGGTAAGGTTGTGAACAAAAGAGAACCCTTATACACAGCTAATGGGGATGTAAACTAGTCTAGCTACTATGGATATCTATATACAGATTCTATAAAAAGTATATATAAACCTAACATGGTCTGGCTATGTCAGTCCTGAGTATCAAAGTTGCTACAGATAAACATAAGAAATACTCACAAATCAGTATTCACTTATTACAGCACTATTAAAAAAAAAGTACAGGAGAGATGGTTTAGCAATTAAGAGCCTTTGCTGCTTTGTAGAGGGTTCAAGTTCAATTTTTAATATTCACATTCCAGCTCACAATTATCTGTAATTCCAATCCCAGGGGCTCTGATGTGCTCTTTGACCTCCACAGGTACCAGGCACATGTGTGGTACAATTATACATACAGGCAAAGCATTAATACACAAAAAATAAAAATAAATAACCTTTAAAACATTGTTATCCCTTGGTAGTTCATGCCTCTAATCCCAGCACTCAGGAATCAGGGGCAGGAAGATCCAGGAGTTCAAAGCCAACCTCATAACTAATTTGAAGTCAGCTCAGACTACCAAGACCATGTCTCAAAAGCCCATAAAAAACATAGGACAAAAAACTGCTGATGAGATGACTCAGCAGCTATCCCCAGAACCCATGCTGGGAAGAGAGCAGACTTCTGAAGGCTGTTCTCTGACCTACACACATGCACCTGCACATGTGCACTTGCGGGCGCGCGCACACACACACACACACACACACACACACACACACACACAAAGATTTTCAAAAGAACAAAGTTATGATTTTGCAGGAAAATAAGTACAGCTAGCAATAATCATATTTAGTGAATTAAGTCAGCCTTAGAAAGATAAGTATGTATTTTCTCCAATTTGTGGTTCCAGGATTTTTTAAAAATAGTTTATTAACTTTATTTTATGTGTACTGGTGTGAAGGTATCAGATCCACTAGAACTGGAGATACATACTACATGTAACCCATGCCATGTGGGTGCTGGGAATTGAACCTGGGTCCTCTGGAAGAACAGCTAGTGCTCTTAACCACTCAGCAATTTCTCAGCCCTGGTTCTAGGATTTTATATAGATACAGGAAATAGACAGAATGTGTGTATGCACACATATAAGACACACATAAAATACAAATAGAACAGACTTACCCAAAATAGTGTAACCCAAGAACTCATGGGAAGGATGAATGTAACAATGGGGAGGCAGGGAAATTATAGGTATATTTATACACACATACTAAGACATATTTAGTTATAAGTATATTTATCCACACATACTAATGTATATTTAGTTTCAATTTTTCAAAAGAATTTTTAAATTGAGAGATAATACTTTTCTGTTGCCTAAAAACATTTTGCCCTAGGAAAAGTATAACCTTCCAAAAAAGGACCCCCTCCTCAGAGTTAGGCTTGGAGCAGGGTTTTGCTTTTATTATTCTAGGAGAATAAAAGCATCCGACTAAGGAATCCATAGACCACTGGACAAGTTAAACATCTGAAGAAAAAGGACAGATCAGCAAGAGAAAATGTCCCAAGGAAAAGAATAAATTTGCCAAGTGTCATCTCCCTCCTGGCTTGGAGCCCCAGACGAGTGCTGGTGCCCATGCCACCATCTGGCCTGAGTGGCTGCACCTTCCCACCAGACAACCACCCAATGATTCCAGCTAAGTGAGATACACAAGAAATAGCATGTGATTCCACCTATATAAGGTAAATAAGACAATAGCATATTCTATCAAAATGAGATGTATCAGAAAATGTTGAATTATTCCACCTATATGAAATGTAAAAGATAGTATGTAATGATTCCACCTATATGAGATTCACAATACAGTGGCAGCTATAAGCAATAGAGAAGAAAATAACATATGAGTCTAGTAACATAGGATGTACAAAGCAATAGTGGATGACTCCTCCTATATGAGACACATAAGGCAAGTGATTCAACCTGTATGAGACACTAGACAATAGCATATGATTCCACCATTACCAGAAACAAAAGACAGTTGCACATTTGTGAAACTTCTCATGCACAATACAATAGCATATTATTTCATGTCATAAGATGCATTCATCTCAGAGGCAGAAAGTGACAGCTGCCAGAGACTGGAGAGAGCAGAAGATAGGGAGCTATTGTTTAATGGATTCAAAGTTATGTGTTTGCTGGGCAGAGACAAAGGCAGGTGAATTACTGTGGTTTTTTTAGGCCAGTCTGGTCTACATAGCAAGTTCCAGGTCATCCAAGGCAAAAAATATGCTGAGGCCTTATCTCAAAACAAAAACAAAAACCAGAAGTTTTATTTTTGCACAGTGAAACATCTTGAACATGGGTGGTGGAAATAACTGTAATCACCATGAAGTGAATCCCCTTAATACTACTGGATGGTACACTTAAAATGATGAAAGCAATACTGAATAAGTTGGTGTGTGCCTTTAGTCTCAGCACTCTGGAGGTTGAGGCAGGAGGGTTATGCAAATGCAGAGCCAACCCTGAGCTACATAGCAAGATCCTATCCCAAAAGGGGCTGGAGGTGTGGCTAGAGAGATGGCTCCCTGGTTTAAGTATATGCACTGCTCTTCTGAGGACCTGAGTTTCATTCCCAGCACCCATATCAGCCACCTCACAACCACCTGTGACTTTAGTTATAGGGATCTGACACTTTTGCCTGTTGTGGCCCCTCACCTGCATAAACACACACAGAGATGCACACATACATGTAATTAAAAACAAAAGTATGTGACGGTAATAATTTTTATGTATATTTTATTACAATTAAAAGACAATAGAGCTAGAGAGATGGCTCAACAACCAAGAGGACTTGTTGCTCTTCCAGAGGATCTGGGTTCAGTTCCAAGCACCCACATGGCAGCTTACACTCACTTGCAAGTTCCAGGCCAGCCAAGACTACATAGTGAGACTCTGGTCTCAGAAGAAAGGTGGGGCAGCTAGAGAGCTGGCTCAGTGGTTAAGAGCATTTGTTGCTCTTGCAGAAGATCTGGATGTTGTTCCTACACAGTGGCTCAGAACTTTTCTAACTCAAGTTCCAGGGGATCAGAAGCCCTTTTCTGGCCTCCATGGGTACCAGGCATGCACATGCACATACATGCATGCAGGCAA